ACTATTGTTGCTGCTTCTGCTCCTCTCTTCACCAGCACGAACACCACCGTCAACCTTACAACCACAACAGATCGATCCCTCATTCAATATTGCAAACACACTTCAATTCACTGTTCCACTATTAAAACAATCATATCATCTCTCGTATTCTGTTAATGCAGATGGCGTTTTCTCACAATTTCATTTTTACTAAGAACTACAGGTTATTGATGCTTCAACACACATGATGCTTCAATACACAATAGGTTATTACCATTTCATTCACATTGCAGAAAGAAAAACTTTGCAATTAAAACAAAGACATTGTCATTCAAACAAAAATTTATCCCCTCTTTTCCAATTTTACAGAAACATTAAAACAATTAAACAAAGATATTATTATTCAAAAGAGTACTACATGATTCATCATCATCATCAAGAAAAACATTAAACAAAGACAAAAGGTATGCTTGAAGACAAGAAAAACACTTTCATTTTTAATCATCAAATCTAAATGTCATAGATGACAAAAAGTTACTCCGAGTGTATGGTGCTTCATCATCATCCGAAGAGTTGAAGATACCTCTCCTAATTATTCACCTTCTTATTCTTCTCCTCCCGTTTCTTCTTATTTGCACAACCACTTGGACACCATGTAGATCCTCTACAACTCCTTCGTCCTGAACACCATGTTGAAAATCTAAAAGTTTGGATAGTATGGCTTTGAAAAACCGTCTTTATTATTACTTCTTTAATGCCAAATGTTTTATTCACTTGGAAATGGAAACATTACTTTAGATATCATTACCAGTCTATGTAGCAGCTATTAAATCCACACTAGATATCATTACTTTGGATAGTGTAGATTTTAAATTTCTAATTAAGCAACGATGTTCCACAAGCAACCATGCTTTTCTAATTTTGCATACTACATTACAAAATTTGAGTTATGGGCTGAATTGGAAGTGTTATTGGGTTTGAAAAATAATGGGGAAGCCCAAATGACATTTTAATAATTAATTTTTAAATACATTTTCATAAAAAAAATATTAATAAAAACAATTTAATAAAAAAGGTAGAAAATACATAATATATAAAAAAATTAAAAATTAAAAATTAAAAAAAAGTAAATAAATAAAGGAATTCCACGTGGCTTCTCAAAATTAAATTAAAAATTAAATTAAAATCCAGCTAGACTGCCAAATTATTGAAAAATAAAATTTGGGTTCAAATGGGGGCATAGTGAGAGAATCTGGGTATTACGAGGGGGGTTTTAAAAAAAATATTTTATAGAAAATTAAAGCGAAACTTGTTAACATTACAGGGGGTGTTGTATATTTAACCCTTATAATTAAATTAGAGGTTTTTCACAACATTCACACATAGGATGTTACACATCTCGAAACAGACATCTGCTGATCATGTAACACTTAATTTAAATAAACATACAACACCTGTCATCACATGCTCATCTTCACTTGGGGTATCATCATAGTGTTAATAATCAATTAAAATACACCAATTTAAATCTCATAATAAAACTCATATTAAAATTAAAAAGCATCGACTCGTAAGTCTTCTTCAAATGCTTATCACACCAAAACATAAAGTACGAAAGCATACATTGTCTCTCAGAAATCTCAACATAAAATAAGTAAATTGCTCCCCAATGTTACATATCATAGCATAGTCAAACTAAAATGAATAAACTAAAAGAAATAGCTCTAGAAGCTAGCTTCCACTCACAGTGTTGACTATACTCTTGAGTATCTGTACGATACCCATGTAAAAGCAACATTCAAACAAAAGGGGTGAGAAATCACATTTAATAATGTCACACTTTGATTTAAACCTAAGATTTCACCTCTTTATGCATCATCTTGCATAGCATGTTTAGGTCATATGGTCTTTGTGTGTATGCTTATTATGACTAACAAGTATGCACAGGTACATTGATTCCAAGTGTAAATGATACTTTTTTTCACAGTCAAGCATTGGATTCTAATTCAAAGGGTCCTAGGATTTTTTACAGGTCTTTTTTTCCTCAGAGTTTCTCAGAAGCTTCAGTGTATACCCCAAGGCGAATTAAGCATTTCCTTCCATTAGTATTTAGCATGGTCATAAGGAGACTAGTTATGCTTTTCGCGACAATTTATATCATAGGTTTTTATTATTCCAAGGTGTCATCCAAGTTCAATTCCATGCTACTCAAGTTAAGTTGTAAGTTTCATTCACCAAAAGAAGTGCAAAGTTCAAGTTACAAAGAAATTCTTATATAATTTGCATCAAGTCTATTCAAACATATAACGTTCAAGATGGGTCTTTACAAAGTTCACGACGAATTTCCAAAAATACAAAATATAATGACTTCACATGTGCTAAAAGCCCCTTACAAATTCAAAGCTCACTTCAAGTACAATGCAAATCATCAAGAAAGTTCAAATCTTGAAAGCATCCAAAATCTAATTCAAAAGTTCTCAAGATAATTCAAGGTTTACAAATTGAAGAGTTTTAAATCTATAGTGCTACGACCTCATTATTGCTACACTGCAACTAAAACTCTTCTTCAAAATTCAGCTACAGTCCATAGCAGTAGATTCATTGTGTTAACTTGAATTATTGCCAAAAGTATATATATGTGCGGGCGTCGACATTAATGCACGGGAAGTTACTAATTTCATAGGCATATCATGCAGTGCCTATAAAACATGTTACAGCCACGAAGAAAAATCCCAAGTTGAGGAGCACACTAAGTTCTAAAAGAAAACAGGCTCTTTTGTCGACATGAGTGAAGGCAAATATAAGTTACGGATTTGGGAATTACTCACAGTTGGGACGACGTATTAACACATCAATTTGAGAAATAGCAGCCGATATGATCCATATTGATTGGAGAATGAATGGTGGTTCTGCATCTAGTAGCTTAAAACCGACTATTTCCTAGTGCATACAACAAATGCAAAGTTCAAATCATCATTTACTAAAAAAATACATATATAACCTTTGAGTTCTAGTTCTTTCATCCATGGAAGATAAAAATTAACAAATCTTGAACTTTGAAGTGGTGACAAGAAAAAGAAAATGCAGAAGCTATAGTTATGAATTTAAACAAAACATGTTTCCTAAATCATATCCCGAGTGTTGTCTACATGAATATTTCTATGGGAAAAAAGCCACCCACCACCTAGTTACAACACAACAACGGAACATTGGGTTAAAGACAAGGTTCGACACTAAATTCGGAAAAAAAAAAAACAAAACAACCTCAGCATACACACGAGTTGACCGAATCATAGTTGCAGCAACGCATCACTTACATTAACTTGGTCACTAACTTCCCTCACACCCAGTTCTTAAGGGCTGAAGCTGAACAACAGCCGGAGATATCCGAGGCTTACCCCGTCCTTGCTGTTCCATTTCTTTGTCTTCCTCAAGGAGCATTTTGTGGCAAATCTAGGATTGATGTTGCGCTGGTCACCGTTTCCAACCAAAACAAAAACAAGAAGATCACTGCCGAACCTGCAAGATATGTTTTTCTTACATGAGCAGACAACTTCAAACTCGTAATAATCCCAAAACAAAATAACAAGTGCATCAAATGTAAGCAAAAATAACAAGTTTCACGGTGGTAATCACAGTTTTTGGAAAGTAATCACATGATAAAGCATAATCAAACAAGGATGGTAAGTTTTGAATGGTCATCAAGCCAGACATCACAAGATACGAAAAATTAACAAGATTAAGTGGCAATTCACAACTCTGTTTCTTTCTAAAAATAGTTCCAAACATCATCACCAATCCTCATGAATTACAATCCAAACATGTCTAAACATGTTCACACAAGGGATGGAAACAAATAACACATTCAATTTAAGAGTTGGCAAAATCAAAAGCCTACAAAAGGGCAGCATAGCATACACAACGAAGGGAGACGGTAGCAGGGCATTCAAATGTGATCGAGACAATATAAATTCTTTCCGAAACAACCTTTAAACTGAATCCAGAAGTTTTTGAATTTTACAAGACACAATAAGACGTGAATGAAAGGTGTTCATTACAATATCATTACACAATCACAAAAATCAGTGGCACATTGAATTCGAAAATTCAAGTCTCATGGCCTATATAAGCTCACATACACGCATAGCAAGGAGGGGCAGGGATAATATTATGACACAGAGAACTCACATACGAAATCGAAAGAATATCATATACATAAATATACACAAAATTCAGGAAAAGAAGAAAGAAGAGGAAAACACACAGAGGGGATCACAAAGTTCACACGAGTAGAAAAGAGGAACACTTATCTCTTCACCGGAGACACGGTCGAAATCACGAAAATTTTTCCATTATACCATTCTCTTACATGTTAATTTCCATTATACCATTGGTTTCATGATATTTTCCATTATACCATGGTTTCAAACAACTGTGCGTTATTGGAGAAGCACTTCCGCACATGCAATGGGCGGCAAGGTGTATTTTATAGGACAGCCGCCCTTTCAATGGGCGGCACAGTATAGCTACTATTTTTTTTTTTTTTATTTTAATCAGTAATGTATTACTATTTATATTTATTATGTTGATTAGATTTAATTAAAAATCATAAAATAAATAAGTATAATAAATAAAAATAAATTAAAATTAAAATAATTATTTTTAAAATAGTATTATTTAAAATAAATTACTATATTTAAATATATAATAATAGCTATTTATATTTATTATGTTTATTAGTATTTATTATTTAAAATTAAAATAAATTACTATTTATATTTATTATGTTTATTAGATTTAATTAAAAATCATAAAATAAATAAGTATAATAAATAAAAATAAATTAAAATTAAAATAATTATTTTTAAAATAGTATTATTTAAAATAAATTACTATATTTAAATATATAATAATTATTATAAAATAAAATACAATAAATAAACTAAAATAAATTTTTATTTATTCTTGAAATACATTAAAATAAAATACAAGAAATGAACTAAAATAAATGTCACCCCTAATTAATTTCGACCCGGTCGATGTAAGCGTTGGTGGGTTCCACAGGCAGGCGCTTGTACATTTCTGGTGGACCTTCTACGATCAACCTCAACGTTTTGGGGCTGTGTAGATGGTCCTGCATCATTGTTAGGGTTCATGAAGGAAGCGACCAAATCATCACTGAAATCGTCGTCATTTGGTATCGCCGCCGCACTTCCATAACTTATTCTTGTACCCTCGTTACTCCAACTTGGTGGGTTTAGAGGTGGCGGTGCGTTAGTAATGTAGGGAGTGTAAGGATTTTGGTCTTGAAAAATGGTGAAGTTTTGTGAAGGGTAAAAAGGAACTTGTGGTTGGGGTGTTTGGTAGTTGTGTTCTTGTTGGGTAGGTTGAGAGAATGAGAATTGGTTATATTGGGGGTATGATAAGGTTGGGTTTTGTTGTTGGATGTTGAAGGGGTTTGGGTTAAATGATGTGTAAGGTTGATTGTAGTGTTGGCTTGGGGTATAAGGTGGTTGTGTTGGGTTGGGGTTGAATGGGGTGTTAAATAATTGTTGTGGAGTGTTAAATATTGGTTGTGGGGTGTTAAATATTGGTGGTTGGGTGTTACATGTCATGGAAGGGATGTTATGGAAGTTTGATGGAGTTGGTTGGTTTTGGATGTTTGATGAAGTTGGTTGGTTCCGAGGGTCCCACAAGTATCTATTTTGTGATAGATACAAATTGGTCACAGCTCTATACCAACGCATGTATTCCCTACTGGGTTTACATTCGGTATCCATGACATTTCCTCGTAGAACAGTGCGACGGCGATTTATCCAATGCTGATGTTCTTGTATGTTGTGGTCTCTCCAATTATCGAATTTCCATTGGTCGTTGGCCGTACTCTTGTGGTACATCTCCATGCATGTAGGTGGACCAGGAATGTCTTGTTTAATTCCGAATTGGAGTTTTACCCTATCTGAATGATGCATTTCAACATAAGTGAAAGAAAAAATGAACGTTGTAGAACTCCACATATCGCTTTCAGTTGGGTCCTCATCTTCAAGTTCAAGATAGGGTCTCCATATAAACTATAACATAATTAAAAAAGGATTAGAAAAAAAAATGGAAAGTGCTAGTAAAAAAATAAGGGAGTAGAGACAATACATCGTCTTCCTCAAAATGATCGAAGAACGTCCGATACCCAGGAGCACAATGATGCGAAGTTTTTTCGTAATTCATCCCATACGCAGACCACCTACGAAAGAAATAGTTAGTAAAAATTAAAGATGAAAAGAATATTTACATAAACAATTTTGTATACTTACTTGGTTGCGTATGGAAAGTGATATGGATTGGGGTTGCTGGGCGACAATCTGGGCATTCTGGACCATCCCCATGCTTGAATCAAAACACCACAACCAGCAAAGTTATGCACATTTTTCATTGCGCATCTACACAAGTTTCTGTATAGATGCGCTAAGGTAGCAGCGCCCCAACTATATCTACTTACTTCATTTAAATCTTCTAATAATGGTAAATATTGAAGATGAATAGTATTACCATTAGTATCAGGAAATAAACAACATGCAAAAAGCAGTAGTAAATACATTCTAGTCTTATAAAGTTTTTGTTCCTCGGGAGACTCATTGGTTAGGTTCAAAGCATTATAATTTCTTTTTAGCCATGTGATTTTAATGCTTTGCCCCTTCCTATCACCTCGTTCCAAAGGCACCCCTAATAGTTCTTCTACTAATGCATAGTTAACATTTGTGTCACCCACAACTGCTGACCCATCAACACGGAGACCCAACAGCATATGGACATCCTCAAGTGTCACTGTGCATTCCCCCGTGGGGAGGTGAAAAGTATGGGTTTCTGGTCGCCATCTTTCGCACAACGCGAGAAGGAATTTGCGATCAATTCCGTATGATATTATATTGATGACGTGACCGAAACCCGCTTGAATCAAATATGGTCTGATAACCTCATCAGGCTCTATGTACTTATGCGAGCGTGGTTTGAGGGAATGTATGCAGAGCTGAGGGAATGTAAACATCTGCCCTTTCAATGGGCGGTTATGTTGCTTTTGCCCTGACAACCCGCTGTCTCAATGGGCGGTTATGTTGCTTTTTCCCTGACAACCCGCTGTCTCAATGGGCGGCAACCATCAGAGTAGTCTGAACTTTTCAGACACACGCGCTTGGGAAGCGCAGCTGGTAGACATTCAATGGGCGGCAGAATTTAATTTGGTCTGACATGCCTCATTCTGAATGGGCGGCAACCAATTAATTCCAGTCAACCGCACCATTAATGGGCGGCAGAATTTAATTTGGTTTGACCTGACTTATCTGTTGCATGCAGGGTGGACGTATTGTATTAAGTAGTATCTTCTTTATTTTTTATACTACTACTATCTTCTATAATTATTCCACTCAATTTCTACTACTACTATCTTCTATAATTATTCCACTCAATTTCTACTACTACTATCTTCTATAATTATTCTACTACTATCTTCTATAATTATTCCACCCAATTTCTACTACTACTATCTTCTATAATTATTCCACCCAATTTCTACTACTACTATCTTCTATAATTATTCCACCCAATTTCTACTACTACTATCTTCTATAATTATTTTGAAACTATCTTGCTTCAAACATTCCACTCAATTATTTCTTCAAATAATCCACTCATTTCTAATACTGTCTTACATAATGTCTTCTAGCAACCAATACATTGTTAATGCTCATTTCAATGGGAGTGTTGTTGTATCAGATGAAGTCGGTTTGATCTTTGAAAACACTGACGTAAGTCGTTTCAGTGTAAATAAAAGATCGTCATTCCAACATTTTAAGGAAAGGTTACAGATGAATGTGACTGCGGAAAGTTTCAAGCATTTCGTGTCCCTTGCTCACATGTTATCGCTGCATGTTCGAATGTGCGCCATGATGCTTACGCTCTTTTGTCTGACGTTTATAGGGTTACAAACCTGTTTGGGGTTTACAGCAATAGCTTTCCAGTGATGTCGTACGATGAATATTGGCCCGTTTATGAAGGAGATCAAATTTGCCATAACCCAAGAATGCGGAGGAACAAGAAAGGTCGCCCAGTAAGCACACGTATTACAACCGAAATGGATAACTTTGATAAGCTTGAGAGAAAATGTTCAATGTGTCGTCAAACGGGACACAATCGAACCCGGTGTCCCAATGTGGGAACAAGTAATCGTTAGTGTTTTTATTAATCATCATGTATTAAATAATATTTCTTAATGATATAAATTATGCATTACAAAATATAAGTTCATATTACAAATTAATTGATTATATTAATATTAACATTATTGAAAATATTAATATTAACATTATTGAAAATATTAATATTTACATTATTGATAATATTAATTTTATTAAATAATAATAATATTACTAATATTATTATTAATAATATATATATATATATATATATATATATATATATATATATATATATATATATATTAATTTTAATATATTAATATATATATTAATAATATTAATAATATTAATAATATTATATTAATAATATATATTAACAATATATATTAACATATATTAATATATATTAATATATTAATAATATTAATAATATTATATTATTAATATATATTAATATATATTAATAATATTAATAATATATATTAATATAATATTAATAATATACATTAATAATATTAATAATATATATTAATATATATTAATAACATTATGCATGTAATATATATTAATATTAATATATATATATATTAATAATATATATATATATATATATATATATATATATATATATTAATATATATTAATTTTAATATATATATATATATATATTAATTATATTTAAAAAAATATAACAAAAAAAAAAAACGGAATGCTCATTTCCGCGGGCGGTTGCTTTGAAAATTAGGCATTTCCGCCCATTCAAAGGGCGGTTCTTTACAAACAAAAATCAAGTTTTTTTTGAAAAGATGGTATTTAGGTATATATGTGGAAAAGAATGGTAGTATAGAAATTTTTTCCTAATAGTGTGGTAGGACCGTGAAAATTTCCGAAATCACGCCCTCGGTAAAGAGTTTCCATCCTTTCACTTTATTTTGCTTCTCGTGTTTTTTTCCTCAAAAACCCCTCTTGAATTTCCCTTGATTTTGGTTATCACCTTAGATTAGGGGTTGTTCCATTGTCGCTCGTCTCGTAGTCGTACGGTTGCAGATCTTTTCGTCAAGGACGTTTGGTTGGGAAGGAGGCGAAGTTTCTGGCCGGAGCTACGTTGTAGGGACACCGTGTGTGGTCGCTTTCCATTCATCTTGGTGATGGTTAGAGTTAGAAAGAGGAAGATGAACGAACGAAGAGAGAAGAGAGTTGTTGTGTTTCCTTTCTTCATTTGTTGCTGCGTTTTTTGTTTTTTGTTTATTATTTTGACTTAATTCGAAGCATGCGTGTCCATGTGCTTGCTGAGCACCCTCGCAAGCAGGGCGTTGATCCTTTTGATCAGACGATTGTGATTAAATTGACCCTACCCTCACGGTGGACCTCTCCTTACTGAATCTGGAGCGCTGCCCCTTTCTCTTCTCGTTTTTTTTTTTCTTTTCTTTTTAACAAGGCATTGTTTTTTTTTTTTTTTATTTAATAATGATGAATATTGAAATATATACTCCTTTTTAATTTTTTTCTACAACTTAATTCATTTAATTTATTCAATAACCAAATAATTTGTTTTTTTCTCTCTTGAGAAAAACTTTTTTGCCTTTTATAATAACTTCATAAATAATTTAATCACATTTAATTATTAATCTCTCCCTCTGTTATGGTTGTGCCTATTTTATTCCATCAATTCTTCGTATTGGTTAATATTGACAATTACATGAACCCTTTTCAATTAGAGAGCCTTATTCACGATTCATGTCAATCTTTTCTCTATCTTTATGTGTCTGACCTAACATTTTCTTATTTGTTTCACTTCATAAATTGATTACACTGCATGTCTTGTATGTTGAATCTCCTAATTATAACTATAATGCCTATTTGTTTCTATTTGATAATATATTTGCATGTTATATGTCCAAGGGAAGAACTTGTGTATGATTTTTAGGTCATATACACTCCATTGTCACCTGCATCATTTACCCCTCCATTCGGTCTCTGACTCCCTTTAGGTCGATCAGCTTAAGGTACATCCTTATATCCTTAGGACAATTCCCATAGATTTTCAACTTTAGACAACTTATAGATTAATATCTTATTCTCCCACAAGAGAATTAGACATGAGTCATCTATGTAGTCGAGATACAATTCTCCTACCCTATAACATGGTCGAGAAATATGTAGAATCTTTTCCGCTTAAGAGAGGTATGTGACATATTCGTCGATTATAGATCCGAGTTGGAGCCCTTCTCTCAATGCGATGCAAATACCGTCTTCCATATGTTTGTGGTAGTTTAAGTCAAGTGTTCTCCTTAAGATGATCACTCGTCGCTTCTCCTAAAACCAATCAACAAACTTTTCCCCCTGGAACTTTGACCACATTCAAGAGTTTCTCATCCCTTTAGGGGAACTACGAATGCTCTGATTCCATTCCCGTCAGGATACATAGGCACAAGATGCGGTTTCTTGGCAAGCATACTTAGAAATAAACCCCTTAGATATCTCACCCTTATCAAACAACAATAACACAATAAAACAATAGGTTCTTATAGAGTATTACAGATGCTTACAATGCTAACACCTTCCCTAAGTTTAACCAACCCCTAAACCTTAGATTCTCTAGCTTTGCATTACATTGCATACTCATGGGTTATTCAATCTTTTTCCCTTCCCTTTGACAAATTAAAGATCGGTGGTGAATAATAATTTGCGATTCAAGTTAATCAATAGCTTGGTATCCAATTCTCACCGCGACAAATAATAATAGACATATACTGCAAGGTAGGATATTAAAACATACGCATTCCATAAATAATCACTTACAGTATTACATGATACATTATCACACCCAACTCAACAATCACACATAACAGATATTATGCATACAATCAATTCATGTAATGCAACTCAATTATGAAACTCAATGCGTATGTATGTGGTACCAACTCAATATTTGATTCTCTCTGGAACCGAGTCCCCTCTCTGAACCCATAAGCCCCCTCTCTAAGCTCCAAGCCTATGAGCTTGGGACAAGCCACTAGTCCCTTCCATGAACTAGCGAACATGCCTAACATAATGCACTAACAACTCTCGTAATTCCCTCTCTGGATTACCATACAACAACAATAACAAAGTATATACACATCACAAACATAATATTAATATAAATCAAGAATTAATTATTTCCTCTCAATTGAAATATTAACTCACATATACAACAACACATCATTCATACTCAACATGCTCAATATATTAAATCATATTCACACCCTCAAACATACTCGTCATAGCATCATTGCCAACATAACATCAATAATACATGTAATTATCATCAATTATTCATGTTATCCCAACACATTAAGTCCCTAAAAACAATTCCATTTGATAGTAATTTGCGTTAGCTTTCCAACGCTTCGAACGTTAACTCATTTGGACTTACGAATCAGAAGTTATGATCAAAACCGTGTTGAAAACCAAATCTGCTTGGCCGCGACGACCTCGCCGACGCCTGTCACCACCATGTCACGAGTTCTTCCATGGCCCCATGGCCACTTCCATGACCCTAAAAACGCGGGGGGGAAAAAGAAAGCATTTTTCACTATTTGAGCCCTTCTAGAGCTCCGATTTCGATTCTGTAAAAAGTATCATCTTAGAATTTGAAACCCAACAATTATCAAATGATCAAAATATCAAATTTACGATTTATCACATATTGAAATCAATTAAATTATATATTTCATAACTTTATCAATTCTATAAACCTTAAAGCCTCTCAACAATGTTGAAATTATCCTAACACTTAAAACAGAAAATACAACCACACATAGTGCACGGAAATTATCAATAATCACATCATACAACATCAAGATATTAT